AAAAAACTCTCCCACTTCCCCTGATAGCGTGCCGAAGATATCCGACCCCCCCCCGCGTACTGTTTTTTTACACAGGATTCCCAGGACGGGTTTTCGCCTGCGTTTTTTTCAAAATGCTGCTCTCGCTGAGGCGCCGGCCTCATTTCTGCTCCCGAATCGTTCCGAATCGTGCTCCCGCTGCAGCGTGGGCCTCATTTTCGGATCGGTGTTTGGCCTCCGTCGTTCAGGATGGCGTTCTCGCCCCAGCGCGGGCCTCTTTCTCGCGCGCCCATCCGCCCGCCACCACCGCGCCGCACCACCACCACCACCACCACCACCACCACCACCACCACCACCACCACCACCACCACCACCACCACCACCACCACCACCACCACCACCAGCAGCAGCAGCAGCAGCACCACCACCACCACCACCACCACCACCACCGACAACCACGCACACACGCACGCACGCACGTACGCGCACCACCACCCACTACGCACCGCGCGCGCGGAGCCACAGGTCCGCTACGACACGCGTCCGTGGATAGAGAAAATCAGCGCCATGGTAAGGGATGGGAGGGAGGGGTAGGACGTCAGATATGACGCGAGCGCACCTAGCTTGCCCCTCCCCCCTCCCCCCTCCCCCCCCAGTCGGGGGGGGGCTGGGAACGCCCTGCTGGCAGAGGCCGGGAGCCTAGCACAGCAGGGGTCCCAGCGGAAATTGAAAGGTTTGGCGACAGTTTTCCGCCGATTTTGGTGGCCGGCTGGGTTCCCGGGTTACCCGTTCCGGGTTCCCGGCTTTTCAAAGCGCTCATCTCTGGCCTCGTCCGCGGGCCACGAGATCTAAAGTCAATCCGCATGGTAAGGATCGGCAACCTTCCCAGAGGCATCCTTGTATTCCTGCCTCCTCGGCCCATCCTTGGCCACTTTCACTGGCCAACCTCGTTGGAAAAGCGCTCACACAGGCCTCCAAGGCCCCTGCACCCTTACCTTTCATCCTCGTGATACTTGTTTGCTGCATACATCGCCACTGCTCACTGGCCAGGTCCATCCGGAACCCAAGAGCTGTGCGCACGCCATCCTTCCTTGGCCAGGAGGGCGCGGCGCACACACCGCTGCTGGGTTCAGGCTGGGCCTGGCCAGGGAGCAGTGGACCTGTATAGATCTCGCCGCCCCACGCCCCCTGTGCCCCACTCGCGCGCCGCGTGTCCCGCGCCGGGCCTGCACCGCGCCCCGCTCCGAGGTCGCCGCCGCCCCCCCAAGAAAGGGGCTCCGTGCGCGGGCGCAGGAGTCCCGGCCGCTTCCCCTGGGGCCAGCTTGTCGCCCCGGACCTCGGGACGACCGAGATGGGTACGGAAAGAGCGGGCACAAAGACCGGCAGCTTTTCTCTGTTTCACTCTGACCAGGGGGCTCGCCGTCGGCGTCGCCGCGGAGAGTGCGCACCCTGAGACAGACAGCCGCCCGCCCAGCAGCGGCCGCTGTTGTTTTGGGACCACCTCTGTGGTCGGGCGCCGAGCCCATGCTCTTCCCGTCCCCGCTTCGGGCGTCCAGGGGGATCTCCGGCTCTGCTGGCCCGGGGCCCGCGGGAGGGCCCCGGAGGCCGAAGGCGAGGAGCAGCGCCTCGGATTGAGCAGCAGCACGCAGCAGGCCCTCGGGGATCTGGGTTTCAGTCGGGCGTGTCCCTCTACGGAGAAATGATTCAAAAACAGTGATGAAAAAATCTGGGCACGTTTTTGGTAACTGTGGAATGCCTCTTGAAAAAGTCTTGGGCACGTTTCCTCCGAACTCCGCCTATGGGAGGACATGCCCAACCTAAACCTGGGTCTGGCGGGACTCCTGCGGACAGGAGGTCGTGTTCGTCCTCCGGGGCCGCCTCCTCGTGCGCTGCTCCCAGGACGCCGACGACAGCCTCCTCGACGCCGGCGACCCCGCCGACGCCCCCAGCAGAGGGGACCTGAGGGAGGTGGACGGTCCTCGTCGTCCTCGTCGTCGCCCTCGTCCTCGCCGGCGTGGCCGCCCTCGCCGCCTCGTCGTCGCCGTCCCCGTCCCCGCCGCCGTCGTCGCAGCCGTCGTCGTCCTCGTCCTCGTCCTCGTCGTCGTCGTCGTCCTTCTCGTCTTCGTCCGCCGCCGTCGTCGTCGTCCTCGGCGGCGTCGTCGCCGCCGTCGTCGTCGTCGTAGCAGCCGCTGTCGTCGTCGCTGTCTTGCAGAGCGTGAATTACCTACCCCGCTTTCGCTTCCAGGCAAGATCAAGCCACACCACGCGCCTCCTCGTCAAGCGGCCTGACCAGTACAGGCTGCAATTTGGCATCGTTTGGTACCTCTTGGAAGCGAGGGCGGTCAAAAGCGAGGTAGGTCTGTTTCCCCCCTTGTCCTTCTCGCCCTCGCGCCGCCGTCGCCGCCGTCGTCGCGGCCCCCCGGCGAGGGGGGGGCCCCGGGGGAGCCCGCAGAGAGAGAGGCCCAGGGCCCGAGGGCGGATACTCTTTTTGCAGTGCGGTGCGCGGGTGCCCTGTCCGCTCTCCGCCCCTGTTCCCTTCCCCTCTGAGGGAGGGGGGGGGGGGGGGGGGGGGGGAGGGGAGGGGGGGGGGGGGAGGAGGAGGAGGAGGAGGAGGAGGGGAGGAGGAGGAGGAGGAGGAGGAGGAGGAGGAGGAGGAGGAGGAGGGAGGGGGAGGAGAGGGGAGGAGGAGGAGGGGGAGGAGGAGGAGGGGGAGGAGCAGGAGCAGGAGCAGGAGCAGGAGCAGGAGCAGGAGCATGATGATGATGCTGATGATGATGATGAGGATGAGGAGGATGAGGATGATGAGGATGATGATTCTGATGATGATGATGAGGAGGAGGAGGAGGCCCACACCACATACACATATCAAAGCTTGTATCGGAGGTTTGGGGGTGAGGTCAAAGTGGAACAGAGAGCCCCCCCACCGGGAAATCGGTATCGGTTTCGGCTTCGTGTCGTGCGTGCAGGCGAGGCGAAGCTGCGTGGGCGGGCGAGCCCCGCTGTTGCTAGGGCGGAGCAGGACAATAGTCCGAACCTCCCCTTGTGGGCGAGCGGTGGCCGGGTGGTCCGTCGGTGTCCCGTTTGTGTCCCGTCGTTGTCCCGTCGTTGTTCCAATTGATGTCCCCATTGGGGTCTTGATGGTGTCCTGGTGGCGTTTTTATGGTGCCTCGATGGTGTCCTGGTGGTTTCCCGATCGGTTCCCCGAGTGGTGTTCCGATGGTGTCCTGATGGTGTCCCTGTGGTGTCGGCATGGTGCCCTGGTGGTGTACCGATGGCGACCCGGTGGTGTCCCGACCGTATAAGAGTGGTTTCCAGCATCGCTCGTGAGATCGATAGTGCGACGTGGGGGGGGTGAGATCGTAGAGGCTCTGCCAGCGATGGTGAGATTGATAGTGGGATCGATGGTGAAATCGGCCGTGAGGTCAAGATAGAGATCGGTTGAATGATATCGATATTGATATTGATCGATGGTGAGGTCGATCGAGTGGGGCCGATAGTGAGATCGAATGTGAGATCGATAGAGAGATCACATCGTGGCGCAGCATGGTTATCACGCGTCGTCGGGGCGCGTCACCAGCATCGTCACTATCACAACCATCGCAGTTGCCCTCAGTTGGTTCTTTTCACCCCTCAACCTCCTTATCACCCGAAGGTCAGCGGCGAGCAAGTGGGCTAAGTGAGAAGGGTTGAGCCTTGTCAGACGACTTTCAAGCCCCACGGCCTTTTGAGAAATTTTCTAAGCCTTCCCCGAAGACGCCGAAAACCTGTCAGAAGGCGCACAGGTTTCTGAGCAGTCCCGCCGCCTTCTGAGAAGGCGTTATCCTTCTCATTTCCCCCCCTCGCTCGCCGCCGAGAAGGCCTTTTCCTTCTCATTTCCCCCCCTTCTCATCTCCCCCCTCTCCGTAGCCATTTTGGCTCAAAGGCTCCAGCATCGTTCTCACACTCTGCATTCCGATCTTTACCCTGCGCTCCATACTCATTGATACGTAGCTTGCTGACTTGCTAACCTGTTCTCGTGGAAGGACATTTCGCAGGATATATCGTCTCCGCCTACGTCGAAGCATAGCCGCAGGGCTGGCACTCCCGTAAGGATGTTCTGCAGCGGCTCGCGGGGAGAGCTAAGCAGCACAGGATCCACAGACCTCTACGTGAGATGGACGGTCTTTGTGACGAGGCCGACCTCGGGGGTGCACCTCGACTCCGACGCCAATGCCAGGACAACTTGGCGGCCGCGGCCGGGATCGACCGAGGAGAATTCGGACGCGGAGGCAAAGGAGGAGGTTAGGAGCTGGATCGACCACTGCGGCACAACCAGCAGGCATAGCAACAAGTGCCGATGCGGATGGACTCTCACTGGGTTAGTTCAGACAGATACTACGTGAGCAACTCCTACCCTTGTCAAAACGATTCCCGGGCGATCAAGCAACATGCAATTTCCCAACACGACCTTCGAACTGCAGCGCAACCGCTACGATCAGCCATCGGCGACATCTCCAGGAGGGTCACAGCACTTGAGACCCAACCGTCGTACCCAGCTTTTGCTGATACAGGTTCCGCACGGAGCATGGGCAGTGCGATGGAGGCGAATAGTAACGAACTCGAGCGCCACGTGGCGGCACTCACCACGAACAGGCACAACGAAGGCAACGCTGTCGTTGGAGGTTTGGGTGATTTTTCAAGCGTTGGTAAGGCCACGGACTTCCTCAAGCAACAGCTTGGGCGCATCAAGCCGCCAGCGCACATCGATACTTTCACCGAGGGCGAGTTCAACAGCATCCTTATCATAAGGTTCCACAGCAATGCTGCCCAGGACGCCTTTGTCAACACCGTCGGGGAAACGCAGATCTTCCCTTATCGGCTTATGGGAATGCAGTGTGAACCCGGGCCGATCAACTTATTGAGAAGTGATTTCCAGAAAGTTTCTTGTGCGGGTTACGGGGGCATGTTTTGAAATGGGCGTTTTCAAGTGGAGAGGTACGTGTTGATGCCGTCAAACCCACGATGAAGATGGTGAAAGACCCAGGTGTGATAGCGAACGCTTCCAACAGCAATCTTCGCATTTTTGGGAAGGAGCGTGGAAGCAATGTGGGGAGCTCACGCAGAGCCCCGAGGTGGAGCACCTTATCACGCGCGCCAGCGATATGCTCGGACCAGCGGCCAAAAGGGGACGGGAAGGGGAAGGAATGGGGGGCGGATAACCGTGAGGGGCGCAGCGCATCGGTTTCCCTGGAAGAGCTCGAGCTGGCGAATGGGTAACATACGCGTGCTGGCCTATGCCGCGCGGCAGGACTGCCTTCTGGAATGTCGAAGGCATCGCCAACAGCAGTCCGCGCAAATTTCCCAAGCTCATCCAACAAATGCGCGACTTGGACAGCGCAGTTCTTTGTCTGCAAGAGACGAACTGCGGCGGTTCGAAGTTCGCAAATGTTGATGGCCATCTGGACTTCCATCCGGACCAAAGGTTGCTGGAAGAGAATGCGCGGGCGCGCGCTTCATCGAGGCGCTCTGGACACGGCGACCAATCGAAGGACACTTAGAATACGACAATCGCATTGTGAGTTAGCGGGCACGGGCAACAGGAGATGGCGTTGTTTCTATTGACAGCGCGCGCGGACGAACGCGCGCGATTGCGACGTCCGCCGCGACTTCCATGCAGGCTCGGAGCATTTTTCCGCGCGCTGCAGGTCTCATGGCCCAGATTAATTGCCGGGCGACTTCCACGCTAGGTTGCCGAGAAGATTTGCCGGAGAAGCTGAGATTTTGGCGCGCGCATGTGTTTCTGAACATCATGGGCAATCGGCGCCCGCGGTCAATCAGAGCACCGCTGCTGGAACTTCGCATTGCCGCCAATACACGCATGGCGAATCTGTTTTTCGATGCGCCAGCGGAGGCAACGGCGCCCCGCTGCGACGTCGAAGTGGACCCCGCGGGGCCAGTCCGAGCAGGAGATCTTGATGTTGTCGTTGAGTCGCGATGGCTCTCTAACGCGCGGGATATCCGGACAGACCGGCGCATTGCTCTTCAATCGCACAATTTCGTATGTTTCGGTGATTTAAATATTGGCGCGCCCATTGCCGTCCGCGCTCCACGTCCGCCGCGGCGAGAGCGGGGCGCACCGCGGTTCAGACGCGTAGCCGCAGACGACATCGAGGGCTTCATCAAGAAGGCGGGGAACAAGCAGGATGCTTTACAACAGAAGGGAAGCACTATAGCAGAATGCATGCTTGAGTCCGCCATGGAGAACATGCCCGCCCTCGCTGCTACTCCGCGCCGTCCTTGGATGTCTCCGCGGACGTGAAGTCTTTGAACAAGCAAGTGCAATATTCTCTGCGCGCGCGGACAAGACATGGCTCGGCGATGCGATCCAAAATGGAGGCTGGAAAGCGATCACCCGTTCTCTCGGGAAAAAAGCCAGCGCCTTGCCATGGGCGGCTGCGAGACAAGCATGGCGACTTAGTAGATGCCGATCAGAAGGCAGAGACCGTCGCATATTATTTTGAGGACGTGCAATGGAAGCTGCACGATGGGCCCGAAACCATTCCTGAATAACAACGCAATGCGGCCTCCCTGAACATTTACGCGGGGCATATACCACTCGAAGAACGTCGCGGAGCAGTCAACGCACTGAAGGCTTAGAGGGCAGTCGGGAATGACGATGCGCCGCCGGATCTCTGGCAAGTTCTGCGGCGGAACAATGCAACTTTGGAAATGCCTCAGGAACTTTGCGATGGGCGCTGTCAGCAGAGGGAAGTGCCAAAAGAGTGGAAAAAAAAAAAAACAAATAGTGTCGCAATATTCAACGCGGGCAACGAGTCGCAACCAAGAAACTAGACCAATGCGACAAGGCACTCGCGAGAGTTGTTTCCCACTAGATCAAATCAGTAAGAGTGGGGGATCGACTCCGAGAATGTTATTTCGAAGCGTTCGACCGCGTCAAGCCTGATGGCTTCATTCGCGCTTTGCGGCAGTTTGAAACACATCCAGACACGCTTGCGATGACCAGTGGTACGCGTGCCGCCCGCAAGTTCGTCGCGAGAAGGGCAGAAGCCACGTCTTCGCAGAGGTCGCAGAACGCAGGGATCGCTCAAGGGTGCCGTTTGTCGCCTCAGTTGTTTGTCATCGCCGTGCATGTTTTGAATAACAGCGACCTCTCGACCCCAAGATGCCTATCTCATCGCGAGGGGCATGCTGCGTGCCAGCGACGCTCTCCTGGAATTGGAATGCCTGAGTACTCGCCAGACGCATCTAGACATCATCGCAGGCATTGGGATGGCGCTCGTCTCGGAGCTCGGTGCCAGCAACACAATAGCGCTGCGCATTGGGCGCGCGGCTACAGTATTTGGGCCAGGAGGCGAAGCGATTCAGTTCCAAGGCAACTCTGTAGATGGTTGGGCATCTGAGCATTGGTGGGAAACCCGAGACAGAGCTGACCAGAGGTATCGGTGAAGCGAGAGGGTATTTCCAACCCCTCGGTACTACTTGGAACCACGCCGACGTGTCTCGACAGCGTAATACCTTGGTATTTGAAACGCGTTTTCCCCCCGAAGTTGCTGCGCGGGCTTGAATCATGTATGCTTCTTGCTTTTGGCCGTGAAGAACTTGGCGGTATTCAAGCTCGGTGCCCACAGGAGATCCACGACGCTCCGCCAGCTTACTTTCGAGAGCGCGCAACGCTGAAGCAAGATATCGAAGCAACGTCGGGCGTCCATCGGCAATTTTGTTGCAGAGACAACTCAACTACTATAGGAAGTTTGCCCGAGGTCTGCCAAGCACGCTGTCTAGACACATGCCCCCCCAAGAAGGGCAAGCGTTCGAGATCTCACCCAGAAGGTGGAATGTTCGCCGCAGACGAGGACGACCTAGCCGTCAATGGGGTCACTATATATACGCTCGCGCTCTGAACGTGGCGGGGGGCGATGCGGATCGTCTAACATTTCTGCTGATAAGCGCGCCCGCCCACTGGGAGGCCGCAGTGATGCACTATCGCAGGCTAGTTTAGTTCAGTGCCCTCTCCCCCTCGTCGCTGTTAACTCTCTCTCTCTCTCTCTCTCCCTCTATGTCTCTCTCGTTCTCTCTCTCTTTCTCTCTCGCTTTCTCTTTCTCGTTCTACTTATATGTACACATGTTTCGCCCTTTCTCTCTCTCTCTCTCTCTCTCTCTCTCTCTCTCTCTCTCTCTCTCTCTTTCTCTATATAATTCGTTCCTTCTTTGTTTTTTTGTTCTCTCTCTCTCGTTTCTTGCATGCTGATTCGAACATGTATTGTCATCCGCCGCCCAGCACTGACCAACGCGCAGCGCTTCCGTTTCGCCGAGATTGCATTTGCGATGCTACCTTTTATTTGCCCCATGGCCTTCGTAATCTCGCGTGGTGCTTTGTTTGCCGATGCGTCGTGAAGGCGCGGCCTCTCCAGTCCAGTCCAGCTCGCCGCCGAGAAGGGTGGCCGTATAGGCATGCGAAATCGCATGCCGCATTCCGTCTTGAAAGAGAGCACGACATGGCACATGGGGTTTTCATAGAAGTTTGCGCACGTGTTGCCGAGACCCCCTGCCGCCTCCGCCGCCACCTCCTCGTTTTCGCCCTCGCCCTTTTCGCCCTCCCCTGCACTCCTTCTCGCTTATCGCCCCTTTCCTCCTCCACCACCTGCTCCCTCCGCCTCCTCGCCCTTGCCCTCCTTTCCTTTTCGCCAGGCTCATCCTTGCCTGTCGCCCTCCTCCTCTTCCCCGTCGTCGTCGTCCTCTCCATCCTCCACCGCAACCTCATTTGGGGGTTTTTGTCCCTTACCACGGCCTAAACTTGACCCCCACATGGTGCGGACGCATTGTTTGAGTTCCACGCTGGCTGACGTGATCACAGAGCTGGCCGATGCGTGAAAAGGGTGTCTTTTGGGCTGCGCTCTGACATTTTCGGTTCCTGGGGCCCTCACGGGGCCCTCACAGAGCGCCAGGGCAGCCAGAAACGTGCTCAAGGCGAGCGGGCCTCGGTCGAGACCTCGGGGGGGGTCCGCGCTGCGAAAGAAAAACCGTGACGTCGTGGGCCTGGGGGGACCCCGAGACCCTGGCGCCCCGATTTTGCCGAGCGGATCTCAGGGGATACCGACATCGCTGCCCCCCAGGATGTCTTTCTGGGGCGCCGCGTGCGGTTCCCGGGGCGGGCCCCCACGTGGCGACGGGGGCCCCGGCTCCCCCCTCTTGCAGAGAGGCGCAGGAGGGCCAAAGCGAGTACTGGTAAGTTCCCGAGACATCGACGTCGCGTGAAGTCGGGCCCGTCCCTCCACAGGAGGAATGTCAAAAAATAGTACAAACATGGTCTGGGGTGCATTTTTCGCCTATGCCTCAATCTGTTCTGGTGTTCTTGCTTTTCCATTTGGGCCCGCCCCTCCACATGAGGAATGTCAAAAAATAGTACAAACATGGTCAGGGGTGCGTTTTTTGTGTCTATGCTTGAATATGTTCTGGTGTTCTTGATTTCCCATCGAAAATTTCACAACGTCACCGCCTGGAGGTCTGAACCCATTCCCCTAGGAAGCAACTCCTGGGAAATTGCATTCTGAATCGTAGTTGGTCAATTCCCAGTGGATAGCTGACCTGATGTGGTTTTATCTCGCTCAAACCGTTCCAATCCCCTGCAATCGAGCTGAATTCCCTTCTTAAATTGGCCGAGTCCCAGGCAAGGATCAATCTGGCCTAATTCAGTTCAGCGGTCCCTCACTCGGGCTTGCAGCCTTTCATCTTCCTGACAGAGACCTCCCAGGAGGCCTCCCAAATCTTCAGGACTGGCATTTCACCAGGAGTAGTTTTTGCCAATCCTGGGGCCCACGACGGGCCCCTGGAGATTTAGAGCTGTGCGGGAGGAGGAAGAGGAAATGGAGGAGGAGGAGGAGGAGGAGGAGGAGGAGGAGGAGGGCGAGGAAGAGGAAGAGGAGGAGGAGGAGGAAGAGGAGAAGGTCGTCATTGTTCGCTTTGCGAGGAGGTCTGGGTCCAGACATCTGCTAATACGTTTTTTTCCGATTCACGGGTCATGGAGGTCCTGGCTGTCTTTTTTCCAGGGCAAGATGCTCGCCCTGGACCCATTTTGATGGTCCTGGGGTTAAGTCGGGCGCGTCCCCCAGGAGGACTGTTCAGAAATTGTCAGGAAGTATTTGGTTGAATAGGTTTGAGTCTTGTTTCACTATTTTTATCTTGCTCCCAGAGTTGCCTGTAGGGCGACATGCCCGATCTAATCCTGGGGCCCATCTAGGCAAAACGCCCGAAACGGAAAACATTCCGCCGTATATTTGGGTCTTCAAGCCAAGGGCCTCTGAAATCCAGGAGTAAAGCATGGAGTGAACATATGATATCGTCGGAGCTCTGGCCCATTGTCGTCGGAGAGGTGAGCGGCGTGCCGAATGCGCGCGTAAGTTTCATCGTTTGCGCGTAAGCCGCTTCTGTAATCAGCCCGCGTAAGTCCGAAACGGGTTCGATTGTGCCGACATGCGCGCGCAAGCTGCCCGCGCACGTGCGCGCCTGGGTGCCCTCGCTTCCGCTTCCTGCGAAGCGTACCGCGCTGCCGGCCCGCGTGCGCTGCGGCGTAGGGTCGCTCTTTCCGAAAGACTTCCTTGCTTCGCCGCCTCCCCCCTCTGCCCGGCTCCTCCCGTGCCGCAGTCCGTGTCTGGAGCTAGCGCCCACCCGTGCTTGACTAGTACCTGCCTTGCTGGTGACACTGCCGACCAGAATGTTCGGCCCGAGCGCAAGGGGGGGATAGGGAAAGGGGGGGTTAAGACATCTGCCGCATGCAGCTGGTCCCGGCCCCGCCGCCGGGCCCATTCCTCGATACATGGGCGCCTCCCGGCGCCGGGAGGCGCCGGGAAGCTCAGCCACGCGAGCTGATTCTCAAACCCCACCTCTGCTATCCCCCCCTTTCGCCCGACCCGACCAAGTGCTCGTGACCGCCGACCAAAACAAGAAGTCTGCGCCGCCCAGGTGGACCTCATGGCCGGCGCGTGGTTCGGGGAGGCGTCCCTCTTCTTCGCGGACCGCGTGCGCACCGCCGCCGCCGGCGCGGTGGCCGACTCCGAGCTGGCGGTGCTCGGCGCCAGCGCGTACCACAAGGTGCAGATTCTCGTTCTCGAGTCGGGCCAGTCCCTCCACAGGGGGAAGATCCAGAAATAGTCAAACAAATGGTCTATAGTCTGGGGGCGATGTTTGGAGTATTTATATATTATATATAATATAGTGTGTATATATATATATATGTATGTATGTATGTTTTGCATGCTTTTGTTTTTTTCGTCCAGAAGCCTTCTGTGGGGGGACACGCCCGACCTGCTGCTCGTCCTGGGGGCCCAGACGCCCTCGCGTCGCGAGCAAAAGCAGGGCGGCGGATGTTTTGGTTCTTGGCTTCCGAGGGCCCTTGCTGGGCCTTGGGGCCGTCATCGCAGGCCTAGAGGCTGACACCAACACCAGTATCTCAAGTAGTGGCGAAGCGTCCTGGCTCGCCTATAGCCCTACCAGAACAATGTTCTAAGAACCTTGTGTGGTTTCCACGAAATGTTCTTAGAACATTTCTGGCGGAGTCTGTCTTGTTTTATCACATCAGGTTTATGGTATAAGAACATTGCTGTTGTGGTTTGAAAATCTTGTGGGTTCTAAAAACATATCGTGGTAGGACTATAAGAATGCCGGGACGGTCGGTTCCTGCTCAAATCTCGGCAGTGTGCCTTCACCGAGGGAAGAAGATCTCGATCTCGCTGATTGTGGTAAGATTCCGGCTTCACGGGGACCGAACTATTGCCACCAGCACCGAAATCTAGGATCGTCTTCCCTTTGTGGAGGCAGTCCCCTGTGTTGGTGTTGCTGCCCATTTCCAGGCCTCCAACATCAAAACACGAGTCAGGACGAAAATCCGTTTCCCCAGAAGGGGTCCATACCTACAGGTGTCCACGTCATCGAAACAGTCACGACGTCGGGTGTCTTGGGACGTTTCTGCGGCCCGTTCCGCGGACCTGTTTCATTGCAGTGTGACTTTAGTTCGACACCAATTCTATATCAGCTCGGTGCAACATCGGCTCGAGTGCGAGCCGAGTCGACTGGCGTTCGGCGCGGCATCGACGCACGACTGGATCGAGTGCACCCAGGAAGGCCCCCAGAACGAGTTATCTGACAAGGTGGTGTGCAAGTTCCCCAGGCTCCTCCGTCGGCACCGCAGCATCGAGCAGGCGTTGCACAGCGGCGCCCTCGCGCTGAAGGAGTTGGCCTACAGGCTTGATTCGGGCATGTCCCTCTTACAGGGGGAATGTTCAAACTTAGTCAAAACCTACTAGGGAGACGATGTTTGACGAATTTTGGCTATGTTGAAGTTCTTTGTTGATTCTTTCTGTTGGTCCACAATCCGCCTGCAGGAGGCCATGCCCAACCTAACCACAGGCCGCCCAAGCCGCAGGCCAGCCCGCGCAACTGGTGCGACTTCCTCCCCGCGCTCGCGGAGCCCGGCCGCGCGCGGCGCCGCAGCACCCGCCCCTCTGAGGCTGATGGGTCAATTTTCCACCACCACTACCATGGGTAGGGCAGGAGAGAATGGAGGATGGGGGTTCTCATCCTCCTCCTCCCCGTCCTCATCCTCCTCGGCCTCCTCCTCCTCCCCCTCCTCATCCTCCTCCTTCTCCCTCTCCTCCTCCTCCTCCTCGTCCTCCTCCTCCTCCTCCTCCTCCTCCAGCCGCCCTGGCACAGGACCCTTCACACACCCTGCGCGGTCCCAGGGATGTGTGTTCTCCTCTACCCGGCGCTCCCTTACCCCTCCATATAGGCACTTTCAGTCGCGGCGCGCGGCCCGCCATGCATGCACGCTTTCTTTTTATGGTTCACAACGTCACGCCCCGGATTCAGAGTGGCAGAGCAGTAGGGATCAGTGAAGCCTACTGGACTAACGATACCGTATTCTTCACAAGGGCTAGACTAACACGACGGCAAACGGACGGGCAATGTACGACTTTCACAGATCTTCACGCACATATATTGAACTGGGGATGTGGACGACGACCGCCTGTCTCGTCACACGCTGGTGTACCAATCCGACTTCGGCGGCGGCTCTTCCGACCACGGCACATAGCACAGATGCATTGCCCGCCCGCAGGAGTACAAGGGCGTCTGGGTGCAGTCGAACTACGGCCAGGCCGCTTGCATTTGTTGTTGATTGTTGCGTATTGTACATGGGGATTCTGACCTTCAAAAAACAATGGCACAGATGATCGCTTGAATGGATCAGGTACGTCGCTGTCGACCCGACCGATGTTCTATAGTTTTTGGCGGAAACACCAATGCTTATGCAGGGACGCTTGTTCGTAATGTGTTTCCTGATGAACATAATCTTGTTGGGCCGCTGCGACCCCAGCAGGAGCATCATTGTATGACGCAGTTGCGAGATTTCATGGTGAAGGTTAAGTTGTGTTTAGCTAACAGTTACATCAGAGGCCATGCTACGTATCATGGGCGGGCTTCGAGTTCCAGGGTTGATTATCTTGGTGTCCCACGCGCGTCGCCAGCTAGTCTGGTTGATTCCAGTATCTTGAACAAGCGAAGGATGCAACTTCGAATGGCACCAGTGCAGCGCACATGGGATCACTATCTTTTGCAGTCTCGAGCACGGTATGTATTAGATTTCTCTCGTGGTGGACGCACTCTTCGCACTCCGTTGAACTTAGATACACTTGTACAAGGGGTGGTCGATGGGCGGTGGAGGGAGCAGTTTTCCAAAGAAGTTGAAGCTCAGTCTGGTCAATCATCTTTCGAGCTCTGTGCACACGACAAAGCTTGGCAGAGTGTATTAAGTGAAGTTCAACAGGTAGCTCTTGGTTTCTTTCCACGGCACTCCGAGGGATATCATGATTTTCGATGGGCTCGGCACCAGCAAAACGAACTTTTCATACGGCGAGCGATACTACGCGAAATTATGGGTTCTTGGCACGGCAGCGCAACTGGCAGATATTCTAGCATTGAAGCAGCAGCTTCGCAGGTTGACCAAGGAGCTGCATGATGCCAAGGAGCAGCACCAGTGTGCACATATTGATAGCCTGGGAAAGCAGATTAGACCAGCGTGGCATGATCATGATCATGGTTTAGTTCATGGGCTTGCACGTCGGCTTGCTACAACCACTGTGGGACCCGGCATACTCTTCTACACCGCACCGGCGCTGTCGAATCCCACGGGGGAAAAGGTGGATTCAGCGCTTGGCGCAACCTGGATGGCAAGGAGGACAGGGTGCACAACAGGTACATGCAGTTGGTGAGTTACCCGCTGCAAAATCACAGGCGCGATGGCCAGCATCGTTGGAATCCTACCTTCAAGGACGAAGCATATCGAGATGTTTTTGGCATCCGTTCTACCATTAAGAGGTTCGCGTGTCGGAAGAGGGTACCACCGTAGTCATTGCCCGCGGAGACTTTCCGAATGCCCCTTAAACCGACCACCCGCGACCCGAAGTATTCGGACCAGCAGGCGGAGCTTGAGGCGCGCATCCCTGTTCTGAAATGGCTTTCTCGGCGGCCCAGAGGCATCCTGTGGGGCATTCGGGCGATGTCTAAAGCACTTCTGGCTTTGCACGGGTAGCGGGGGGCCTGCGTTCCAAAGCCGAGCTCGCCGACGGGACTTACAGCTGTCAGACTTACTCACAGAGTATGTCCGTTCAGCAAGGCCATGATGAGACCCATCAACCGAAGAGAAGTGGAGGCGTTGCCTGAGAGGAAGTTTCTGGGCTGCATGCGCGGGGGGAGTTGCCATTCGAGTCCAACTTGCCACGAGCTGGCGCTCGGCGCAGATGGGAGTATGTAATGCTGCAGTTTTCTATGATCGGTCGAATGTGTGCGGCAGCATCTCGCAGCAAACTGTGGCTGCGAATTATTGCCAGCATTGCTATCTGGATGATGCGTGGCAGGGCACGCAGAACAACCACGCCCGCTACGTCGCTGCAGACGCAGCTGATGGAGCGGGCGCACGCCTTATTGGAGAAGGCGCCTTGCAGGAACACCAGTCTGCAGGTGGCAAGTTCCATCGAGTGTTCCAGCGCAGTGTTCTCGAGCCGCGGATGGAGGCAAGGAGCGCGAGACCGCGAGGCAAGGCGTTAATGTGCAGCTTCCTTTTTCAGCGTGAACCCTGTCGTTCTCCACGGCGGCGCTCATAGATGATGCGGCTCGCAAAGTCTTGGGCGGTGCACCGAGAGAAGTTGCGATTCGACTTGGCGAAGCGAGCAAGCAGATATATGAGAAGTTGTCGACAGTGGGCGGCACTCAGAATCGCGCGAAGCAGCAGAGCGCCCCGAGGCTCGCGGGCAAGGGGGGCCACCAAGAACTCGAAGGCGCTCTCCGAGATGATCGAGTTTTCTGGCGCGGTGCAGCCGGCTGCCACGGGCGCGCAGTGTGTCTGACAAATATGAGGGAAGCACGGTGGAGTATGGGGGGATTGGTTTGCTCGTAGTGCGTCGTCTCAGCTCAAGAAGCTGGTATTCCAATGCCGAGTCCAGAGTAGCGCCCTCGGCGGTCTTGAAGCGTTTGTACTGATTTCCAGCCATGGTCGCCTATTGGACTCCAATCTCTTGGGCGGGGCGAGAAGCTTCTCGGGGGTAGAACTGCGCGTGAGATTCCTCAGCCCGATGGGTCACCCAAGCACCGAGCCCGCCCTCCAAATCTGATTGCGGCGTCTTCATTGGCTCGATCCCGCGCGACTCGAGCTTCGAATTCGGGGGCGCAGACGGTTGCACACCCTTGCAGCGCGCAGAGAAGATAATGCGCAGGTCATAGCGGCTATGTTTGGAAAGCTCCCTGACGAGAACCAAGCCACTCTGCAGGACTGCAAGCTTGTGAGGCACTGCAGCGATGCGTATCAGGCGAACCCGTGGGCACTTCAGGCCCAGAATGATCTCCTGGCGATGGCGTATGCTGAAGATGGTCCCGGCTCCCTGCATAAACTAGGCGATGCACCTCTTCGAGCTGAGTTCGGCGGGCTGGACGGCGCTCCCTTCGGAAAGCGTATTGTGATGAGTCGTTGGGGGATCTTCAGGACGATGTGGATCTTGAGCCAGGAGTGCGGGGGCAGTGCCGGGAGGGGAAGGAGCTAAACCAGAAGATGGAGGAGGTGAATCAGGATGGGGGGGGGGGGGGGGGGTATCAAGCAGTTCCCGATGGACCCCCTGCAGGCCCACCAGCTCCGGCATGGGTTTGCGAGGAGTTCAGCGCAGATGGTTCGCGATGCGGGCTTGAATTTCAAGGCCAGCTGGCGCGGCATGCGCGCGCGAGATTCACGCGAGGGGGCACGCGCGGGCATCGCGCGCTGAGCAACGTGCTCACGGTCACCAATCAATGCCCCTGGTGTATGAGTGTACTATTTCATAGACCTATCGCGCGTCAGCCGTTTCGTAGATCATTTCTACGCCACAGATGTCAAGCAGATAGAGGACACCATGTATATTATACTATCGAGCCTGGGTCGCTGCTGTGCCCTGCTCGCGGTCAAGATCACCATTGCTTAGAGACTCTGCAGGTTCATATGCGCTCGCGCGCGCAACTCGATCCGTCTGCCCATTTTCCTTTCGAGAGACCGATCCATGGCGGAGCAGTGGGTGGCGGGAGCCATGTCGCAGAGCCATCTCTTGGAGGCGAAGAAGCGTCTAGCCAGCTCTCAAGAGGCCTTCCACGCTGGTGGTCACAGAGAGGATCGGCAGCAGCGGCGTCGAGGAGATGCGCGTGCTCGAGCTACGCGCCCGGGCGATGCAGCAGCGTCGAGCGGCGAGGAGGCGGCGGCCCCCGTGGCGCTGGACACAGGGTGAGGAGAGGGCGAGCACACCGAGGACGAGTCGGTGGTCAACAGTTTCAAGCATGTGGCGAATGTCACGCAGCGCACGAGGGCGCCGGAGGGCTGCTTGATCAGCGCGCACCTACTGGGCAAGGATTGCATTCTCAACGCGCGCGCGATAGCAGCTGCGCAGCACTATGTGGGCCACGTGGAGTCAGATCCGGAAGCAGAGCGGGGACCTCCGCCCCTCATGGTGGCCACGGCGGCGATGGCAATCTTGATGGTGCAACCAGCGGGGAAAGAGGCGGCCGGCATTCAAGATGAAGTAGCGGGTCTCGCCTTACTTTTGGAGCGATTCCGGGGCGAGAAGATGGGGGCAGCCGCAGAACGCATCAAGCACTGGCGGGCGAAGTCGACGTTCCGGAGGGAACGAAAGGAATTCAACGTGGGACATTCGTTTTACGTTTATGCGTTCGTGCCAATCGGAGAGCCGTCCAATATGCTGATAGTGCCCGCCAATCCCTTGATCACGAAGTGCCTCATGAAGCTTGGGTCCAAGCCGAGGCCAGGCCCGCCGCCGCGCGGATGCCCCGAGAGGAAGATCCAGATTTCACTGCAGAGAATGTTGAAGGGGAGCAAGCACAAGAGGTGGTAGGCTCGGGGGCTCGAGGTTTAATCCTGAATTGAAGGGAAAGCAGTAGCAGGAGTAGCAGGCCCCCAGCTCATGTAAATACTCTAGGAACTG